AGCCTCCTGCAGCTGGTGTCTCACCCACTGTTACATATTTTTTTCTCTACCTCTGTGTTAGGACTCATGTCCCGCTCAGGCCTGGCACCCTTCCACCTAGGTACTGTCCTGCAACAGTGCCCCCGCACTCTAGGGTCTCCCCCTCCGGGGACCTCTAACTCCTAACACCCACCTTGCCTCAGTGACCCACCACCAATCTTCATCTAGCCCCTGCCTCAGGGGCAAACTGCCATCTGAAATGGCCACTCCATTGGCAAGGCAGTGTGGACCTGCTGCCTTTGCCTATTCTGGCTGCCTCCCCACAATCATAGTAGCCTCAGGCCTTACTTCAGGCCCTGCAGCCTGAGAGCTTGCCTGGCCACACCTTCCCCAGCCCTGCTCTAAATCAGGAAGCCTCCAACCTCCCTGGTCTTTCCTACTCCAAAGCTCATGCAAGAGTGAGTCTGAGTTTCTCCTCCCTGCCAGGAGTCTTTACTTATACTGCCCTCAGCTGTGCCCTGATTGGCTAATACCTGCCACAGCTGCTGGCTCCACAGCTCCAGCTCTCTCCCAGGGCTGGGTTTTAACCCTTAAAGAGCCAGTGAGGTCTAGACCCATCACATTGATGAAGACATTCTCAGTTTCTTCCCTGATGGTTGTTTCCTCCATCGTTCTCTTCTGGTTGTTAATTTGAAAAGCAATGCTTGATTTTAGTGCAGTAATTTGAGCAGGTCTGTTTTTTGCCTATGGGCATACATGACATCTCTGCTTCTTCCATGTAATATAACTGATGTGCCAAACTTTATACTCTCCTTCCTCCCCCAAATAGCAGGAAGAGCAGTGGAGAAGATTCTTGTAGAAAGAGTGATAAGACAGCTATTTCTCAGTATATATATATACTGAAAGTTATAAGTGCACATTTAACAAAAGCAGCACAACTATTAAGATTAAAGAGCTTTAACAAAGTCTGTCCCTCAATTACATCCATATTCACACGTGTAAATATTCCTACAAAGCAGAAGTCACTTAGTACTTGGAATTTTTTAATTGATCTTGAATAAAAATAAATGGCAATAATAAACATTTTATTATTGACTAGGTACAAATTGCATCAGCTATACAGTCCATTCTGTTGAGTGAAAAATAATGTATTGATGAGTGTTTGTTTTTCTGACTGACTAATTCGTTTTAAGACTGTCTCTATAGCTAATTATTAACAGCATTTTTTTTGTATGTGAACATAAAAACAGTCATACTGGGTCAGACCAAAGGTGCATCTAGCCCAATATCCTGTCTTCTGACAGTGGCCAGTGCCAGCTAACCCCAGAGAATGAACAGAACTGATCCCTCCCCTGTCATCCATTCCTAGCCCTGACAAACAGAGGCTAGGGATACTACCCCTGTCCATCCTGGCTAATAGCCTTTGATGAACCTATCCTTCATGAATTCATCTAGTTCCTTTTTGAACCCTGTTTAAGTCCTGATCTTCACAACATCCTCTGGCAAGGAGTTCCACGGGTTGAATGTGTGTTGTGCAAAGAAAAACTTCCTTTGGTTTGTTTTAAACCTGCTGCCTACTAATTTCATTTAGCAAGCCATCGTTCTTGTGTCATGGGAAGGAGTAAATAACTTTTCCTTATTTATTTTGTCCAACTAGTCATGATTTTATAGACCTCTATCATGTCTTCCCCAAGTTGAATCTTTTCCAAGTTGAATAGTCCCAGTCTTATTAATCAATCTTCATATGGCACCTAATCATTTTGTTGACCTTTTCTGCACCGTTTCCAATTCCAATATACCCTTCTTTTAGATGAGGTGATCACATCTGCACACATCTGCACACAGTAGTCAAGATTCAAGATTCACACATCTGCACACAGTATTCAAGATGTGGGCATACCATGGGTTTATACAGAGGCAGTAAGATCATTCTTGGTCTTACTCTCTATCCCTTTCTTAATGGTTCCTAATATTGTTTGCTTTTTTGACTGCTGCTGCACCCTGAGTGGATGTTTTCAGAGAACTGTCCACAATGACTCCAAGATCTCTCTCTTGAATGGTAACAGCTAATTTAGACCTCACCATTTTATATGTATAATTACCCAGTTTTGCGAGATCACATTTTTGAGCATTTCTCTTTGAAGGGCTCCAAACTTCATTACCCTCTCTCCCCCCCCAATGAAAGCTAAGGTTTTTACACAATCACAAAGCTCTGACAGATGGAGCTTTATGAAAAAACTCCAATTATCATGACACCCGTGGTAACATCACATGAGTGGATAACACCGGATAACCTCTGGTGTGATTCTGGTGTGCAGTGAGGTGGAGAAGGATTTAGAAATGCTCCTGTTGATTTAGCAGAATCATTTTTCTTTTTTTCTTTTTTTTGG